TTTTGTCGGTTAACGGTTTTGGTTAATAATTAATATTGGTTAACCATAATGTTTAAAATAATATAAATAACAAAAGTATAGTGGCATAAAAAATGAAAAGAGAATACAAACAGTCCTCAGCACCAATGTTTGTAAACTAGCTTATAGTAATATAATAAAATGTGTACCTTTGATACTCAGACAAAAAGTATAAAACATTAAAAAAATTGACATTAATAACTTCATATATTGATAATTGATATTAACATTAAAATAAAGCCAAACATTCATACACGTTCAATGCGATTAAATCAAAAACTATAAAATAAAATAGCTAAACATTTATATTACGTGTTATATGGATAAAAAAACCAATCACTCATATACATTCAATGTGATTAAGTCAAAAACAGTAAATAAAAAAAAAATTAAAAATACATTCTTAATATATCACAAAGTGAAGAAGAACCAAAAACTTAACTTACATACAAGTTTTGATTATAAATTAAAAAAAATCATTCGAATAGATCTATAAATTCAAAACAATCTTTGATTAGGATTAACGGTGTGAGAAGTCTCCGATTAGGATTATGAGTGTGAAGATTAAAATAATTGTGAATAATGTTTACAAATTATAGAATTAGTTGATTAGGAATGACAACATTAATCAATAATCTAACTCAATGCATGATTGGAAAATTGTGTGTGTCTGCATGATCGGCGTGATCATCCTTTGATGGTTTGATTGCACGTTCGTCTCCTGATAAATGAGGATTAATGAATTATATTTTGAAATTTTAATGGGTCTTAAATAAGTTTGACTATATTATTTTATATATAATCCAGAATTTTTATGTATTAAAATAAAAAGTTAGCGGTTCGGTTAATAATGGTTCGGTTAACCTATAAAACCATAACCAAACCGTTTGTTATCGGTTAACAAAAATTAGAAACCGAACCAACGGTTTTTAAAATGGTTCGGTTATATCGGTTAATTTGGTTATGGTTTGGTTTTTCGGTTATTATGCTCACCCCTAAAAGGAGTGGAAAGAGTGAAGCTGGGTAGTACGCTGAGCGTAATTCCAGTACGGCCCGCGTACTGACTAAGTGTCCCCGATGGCCAACTTGGACTCGTGAGTACGCTGAGCGTACCAAGGGAGGTACGCCCCACGTAACCTCACTGTGAACTTTTGGGCTAAGTCTCATTTTGGGCATTGAGTGTTGGGCCTGGAGTTTGGGCTGGTTGCAATAGAGTTTTGGACCAGAGGAATATATATATATATATATATATATATATATATATATATATATATATATATATATATATATATTTATTTGTGCTTTGGGCCCTTGAGTTGGGCTTGCCTTTTAGATGTGAGTGTTGGGCCTCGGGAGATCCCATTTATTATTGGGCCTTGGTGGGCCCAATGGGTTTTAGGTTATTGATGGGCTGGTTAGTGGACTACCTTTAGACCTAATGAGTGGAGTTTGGACGTAGTTCCTAATTGGGTAATTGTGGATCTTGGTCCAGTGTTAGAGGCCGGTGTGCAGCAGCAGCATCTATAGGAGTTGTTCGTCATCCGAGGTGAGTCTTCTCACTATACTTACCTTGAGTGGTAATCTATGTGTGACCGGAGGGTCTTATGTGCATATACTGTGTAATGAGATATCATGCTTATTGTCTTTTTGATATATATGTTGTGTATTATATTGAGTTGCCGAGTTGAGGGACCGGAGGGTCCAGCTGAGTTGTGGGACCAGAGGGTCCCACTGAGACACATTGACCGGAGGGTCTTATCTGAGTATAGCCATGAGAGGCTAATGAGATATGTGTGGTATTTTGGGGAACTCACTAAGCTTCGTGCTTACCGTGTTATGTGATATGTGTTTCAGGTTTTCTCAGGATTGCGGGAAGGCACCAGTTTGATTGTACACACCAGAGAAAGAATTATGTTTTAAGGATCTTGGATTATTAATCAAACAATTATGGAGATGCGTTTTGCAAATTAAATAAAAGAGATTTTTGTGAAATGTGTTATGAGAATTCTGTGATTTTAAAATGAAAATTTTGTTTGAAAATTTACGGTGTTACATTCGAAGTGGTGCGACTTAAGGCTAAAATATGGCGAATTTGGTGGAATTTACAACAATCTTAACAGCCTACACAAAAGCGGGTCAAGCGATTTCGATGTATTTAAGGCGACCGTGGATCAATATGAAAAAACAACGACAACCCGCAAACCTTTTCCATATCTCAAACATTAGCTAAAGTTGAAGAATGCTCCAAAATGGAAAGAGCTAACAGAAGGGACTTCACAAACCTCTTATGGTTCATATCATCTAAGAAACCCTAATGGAACTTCACTACAATCGGACGAGCGAACACACATCGACATCAATGATGATATATGGTACATCTTGAAGATGAACAATCTCTTCGTCAGCCGATAGGAATAAATAAAGTAAAGAAAGTGGCATCGGTGACTTCGGGATCTAGCAGTATCGATCATTTTGGAGAAAAAAATTGATCGATATGTCCAACTACAAGAGAGCAAGGCAGCGATGATGACTCGGTGGAACAAAAAAAAAATGCTAGAAGCACAAATGTCATTTCAAGAGGCACAAACGACGTTTCAAACAAAAAACGATTTTGAGATATTGAAAATGAAAGCGGACGATAGCGATAACAAAAATTTGAAGATTTTTCTCGCAATGAAAGAATCTATTCGAAAGAAATATAGGAATATGGGATAGTTTTTTTTATTTGTGTTTGGAATATTAATATTTTTTTGGTATTTTTTAAATTTGCATTTTTTTAAAAATTAATGTAAGTTCTTTTTTTCTTTTAGAATTAATGTAATGTCTTTTTTATTGAAAAAAAAATAGATTAAAAAAATCTATGATTTTATTGTATTTTTTATTTAATTTTAATTAAAAAATGTTGCAGAGTAGTGTTTTAGTGGTAGATATATCATAGGTTTAGTGGTTGGATGTGGTGATGACTTGGTACTCACCATATTAGTGATTAGTGGTGGGCAACATCGGATGACGTAATACAAATCTAGAATTTTGAACCAAGATTTAATATTAGTAACACGTTGAGACGAGACAAACTGATGTATAATTACCACGAATTTAATAGTAAAATTCCTAATGAAGATTCTCATTATGGCGTACATTATTGTCTCACAAACTTTAGACATAAAATACATACATGTCATGACTGAAACATACAAAGCTTTATAATTTTGAATTTATAAGGCTGAGGGGGTGGTGTCGGACTAATCAAGTTCCACCTCAAAATATCCATCTTTGTCGAACATGATGCCAAACAGAGGGCATGGAAGAAGAAAAAAAAAAGAAGAAAGGAGGAGGAGATGTATGGATGAGAGAGGAGTAGTTCGGCAGAAACATACTGAGTTAATCCACTGAACTCGGCATGCCGAGTTTATGGCACGATGTATGTCGAGTCCAGGTGGAATATGTCGAGCTCTTACCGATCCCACTTCATGTATCCTAACACTTCATAAAAAAGAATAATTAGGGTTTCTCAACATAGGAGACGATGATTATGAAGTGTATTAATGATATTTTAAATTTAGATTTATAAGAGGGATATAATGATTAATTGGTAAATAAACATTTAAAATGGTTATAAAATATTAAAAATAAGAATTTAGACAAATAAAATATTTTAAAATTTTATAAAAAGTAAATATAATATTTAAAAACTAAACTGGATAAATATTATATTTTGATATTTAATAAAAGTTTAATTAAATAGCATCCTATATTATCTTCATACCTGTCTTATTATCCATGTTAAATTGTGACATGTGTGATATTTAATAAAATTAATAATATTTTAATCATCCGTAATAAATAAAGATCTTTTTGTCATATGTCACATTCTCATTTATTTTGCAACATATAATTTTATGGTTTTTTAAATTAATTTTTATTCTACATGTCATTTTATGGTTTTTTTTCATTTTATTAAATTCCAAATAGTATTTAAATGCAATAATAAATGCATATCAATTTTATTAATGAATTTTTCTTCTAATTTCAAAATTACTAAATTAAAGATTCATTAATTTTCTTTATTTATTTATCTAAATTATTTGTTTAAATTTAAATGAGAAAAAAAAAACACTTTAATTTTTATAATTCAATATTTTTTCACTTTTCTAATAAATTCAAACTTCTCAAATATTTAGAATTTTGTATTTATTTTTCTTTTAAATAAACTTATGTAATACATGAGTATCACACCTAGTATATTAATATTTTAATAAAATTAATAATGTGATACATATTATCGTTATAAATATAAGATTGGTAGGAAAAAAAATTAGAAAAACATATACAAAATTATTCCTAAAAAATTATTAAAATAATTTCATAAAATTATCACTTATTCATGACGTTCCATATGGGTCGAAATTAATATAATATATAACTCTTGGCCAGAAGACTTTTCAATGAGTACTAATTTGAAGAATGAGACGACTTAAAGACTCATCTTGTGGAAATTTTTTGTTACTTATTTGTCGGGCCGGTAAGAGTACATTGTGCTATTAAATAAAATAAGTTTTAATTATTATAGAGCTAAATGTAAATATATTTATCATTCTATCAAATCGTCAATAAAGTTTGACATGGATAACAACTTTTATCAAATTATATAACGAGCTACATAATATGTTAAACGTAGTGATAAACTTGTTAATGAAATGGTAAAAAATTGTAGTTTGTTAATTATACTAAATAAAAAATATACATATTACATTAACTAGGGGTGTCGAACGGGTAAAATTTTCGGGTTTCGGGTAGAACGAGTCGGATAGAACGGGTAAAATTTTGGCATTTGTTAACAACCAACTCACTATTTTACCATACAATATCTCGTTGACCTTTATACCTCGTGTTTTAACCATTATTCACCCATTCGTCCTATTTTCCAGAGTGACTTGTGGATTTTGTCCATTATATATATGGTTGGATATCAACTAAAGATATCAAAACCGAAGCCATGGCAACAATGCTCATACTATTCGGCTTACTTATAAGTCTTCTCGTATCCATAGGTTTCTTTTTCTTTTATCACATTCACCAATATAATTTACATTTTTCATATATGTTTTATATATTCTGGTATATTATTCATTTACCAATATGATTTATATTTTTCATATATGTTTTATATATTCTATCATTTACCAATATGATTTACATTTTTCATATATGTTTTATATATTTTGGTATATTATTTGTATCATTTCCAAATAAATGTTATTCTAATCTTCTATGATGTTCAAAAATATCCATATATCCAAAATTTCTGATAGAACTTGTGATAGTAATTGCTTTAGTTTTTTGGGTTTTTGATATTTACAGTATTCAAATATTCATTCTCATTTGGACAGAGGAGTGATAACACTACTAACACATTGTCATATATGTTTTTTTATTGTCATATAAGTTTTTTTATTGCCACATTTAGCATGTATAGGTTAAAAAAATGTATAGGTTGAAAAAGGTAGGGAGTGATAGTGTATGATTTTAATAGGTTTTGTTTTGAAAAAAAGTATATATATACAAAATATCCACTACCAATCACACTTCAATACTCTTTCTCTCTCTTTTCGATGTGGGTATAGCGACCCATTGTCGGTGAGTCGTCCAGCAAAACTTAGGGGGTGGTGTAACGAGTCCATAGTAAGAGGGTTGACAAGATCATTCCCTCAAACCTTAAAAACGAATCATCCAAATGTTGGAGGGTGATATTCAAACATGAGTAGTCCATATCGGGTGTTGTCCTCCCTCCTAGAAGTTGAGGGTTCAAGTCTCATTGGAGACATACGTGATATTAGAAGTAGTGTAGATTTGTCATTCTAAATAATATATATATATATATATATATATATATATATATATATATATATATATTCAAACATGAGGCAACTTTTCATTTTGTAGTGTTTAATTTTCGAATGATTGCGTCCACTATGTGGATTTGATGGTTGGTGAATATTCTAAATAAGTGTTTTTGTAATTTGTTAATAAGATTTTAATCTGCAGAAAATTCGATAAAAGAATGTGATAATAATAATACACATATCCAATACAATCTAGTTGTTTTAAACCAGTATGCAATCTAATTGTCTAAAACCAGTATGCAATCTAGTTGTCTAAAACCAGTATGAAATCTAACTGTATCTAATATTCACATCTAAATTTCTAAAAATCCAATTTTGAACGCGAATACATGTTTAAATACAGATGTAACTATAGTAGTTTATGTGTGTTACAAAAAAGATGAACCATATTCTAATGATTTTATTTTTACAGATGCGCAGGTCGGCGTGTGTTATGGCAGAGACGGTGACGGTTTGCCGTCACAACAAGACGTCGTGAACCTCTACCGGCGCAACGGCATAACCAGAATGCGAATTTATGATCCCGATCAAGCTACTCTTCGAGCCCTAAAAGGAACCAATATCGAACTCATCATCGGCGTTCCTAATGATGCTCTGCAATCCCTCAACGATCAAGGTGCTGCAAATACATGGGTCAGAAACAACATCCAAAATTACCCCGATGTCAGGTTCAAATACATCGCCGTCGGAAATGAAGTCGATCCAAATAACGGGAATAGTCGATACGTTAATTTCGTACTTCCGGCGATGCGAAATGTTCAGAACGCCATTACCGCCGCCGGCCTGCGGAACCAGATCAAGGTGTCGACGGCAACCTACACTGGTCTGTTAGGCGTCTCCTATCCACCAAGCAATGGCGCCTTTCGTAACAATGTACGGGGGTTTATCGAGCCGATAATCAGATTTCTAGCCGGAAACAACTCTCCAATGCTTGCCAACATATACCCCTACTTTTCCAACCCTAATTCCAATCTCCCGTATGCGTTGTTTACGGCGCCGGGAACAGTTGTGACAGATCCTAATAATGGTCTACGATACTCTAACATTTTTGACGCCATGTTAGATGCTCACTATGCAGCTCAAGCAAGTCTTGGTGGGGGGAATGTGCAGATTGTTGTGTCGGAGAGTGGTTGGCCGTCGGCAGGCGGCAATGCAGCGACAGTAGGGAACGCTGGAACTTACTATAGGAACTTGATTAGACATGTCAGAGGGACAACGGGGACACCGGCGAAGCCTGGAAGGTCTATAGAGACGTATTTGTTTGCAATGTTCGATGAAAACAAGAAACCTGGTGAAGAGTCGGAGAAACATTTTGGAATTTTCTCCCCTGATCAACGACCTAAATATCAACTGAGCTTCAATTAAGGAAAAGTAAAAAACACCATTTCTGAAGCTATGAAGAATATTCCATACATAAAATAAAGTGGTTTTCCACTGCTTAATAAAGTGATGATGAAGTAAAGATGGTTGGTTATCTTTGATATTGTTTTGATAAGGGAGTTTAAATCTTTGATATTGTACTTGTATCAAATATCTAAATAAAAACTTTGTTAAATATATATATTTAGCTAGAACTGAAACCCTAAACCCTCTCATCTACCTTATAACCAAATTGGCAAACGAAAACGGTTTGTCTAACCGCCTATTGCGACATCCCCGTTTGTTTTGCGGGGTTATAGGAAAATAATATCTTTGATGTTTGTTGGGCATAAATTTTTTCATATTGAGTCACATCCTGCTCTTAGCCATCCTAATCGAAGACCTCAAGATTTGAAATTGGATCATCTACAAGGAGGTGTTTACCAAGCATGTATGAAGCATATTTATGATTTTTCATATCTTTATCGATTAGGCAAGCATGTATCGACAACATATTAGCAAAATATACTGATTTAATACATGGTCTTTTCAAAACGTGTAACTTTTTTATGTGGAGTTGGGTTAACCTGTACACTTATCAAATACTTTCATACTCCATGGTGCTATTGATTATGACCTCATCATACATGTCGAAATTTCCTCGTTTGTCTTGCGGGATTATGGGAAAGGAGGTTGTCTTTGACGATTGTTGGGCAGAAGCTTGTCATATTGTGGCGTAACTTTCTCGTAGCCATCCTGATTGAAGGCCCTAAGATTTGAAATTGGGTCCTCTGTAGGGAGGTTGTATGAAGCGTATTTATCAATTTTCATATTTTTATCGATAGGACAAGCATGCATTGACAAAATATTAGCAAAATATATTGTTTTACTACATTGTCTCTTCAAAACGGGTATTTTTTAATGTTTAAATGAGTTACTTTTACACTTATCAAAAACTCTAATACTTCGTGGTACTATCGATTATGGTCTTACTATACAAAAGTCGAATCTTCCCGATTGATTTTCGACATTGGTGCAGCTGTGCATATTGGGTCGGATGCCGCAACACCAAGTGATCCACTTCCGACTATTGTTTTTTCCTTGGAGAAAATTTGATCTTATGGCCCTCCAAATGTGAAACTACAATATCAAGATCAAGTCTTGAAGTAGAATATCGTGGGGTCACAAACGTTGTATCAGAAACATGTTGGATTTTCAATCTCTTTCTTGAATTATTACATATGGTTACCATAGCCACTAATATATGGTGATAATGTAAATGTCAACGCACTAAAAATGATATTGATAGACATTTTGTCGAGAATAAGTCGCCAAAGGAGGTGTTCGTGCTATGCACGTCCCATCACGCTACCAGATTGATTGCTGGCATTTTTACGAATGAACTTAAAAAAATATTTGAATATTTTTTGTAATAATTTGAGCAATCGTCCTCTTATCGCTAAGACTAAGAGAATGTATTATGTATATTACATATAACTGATTGTTTCATTATTAAAAATATTAGTTTGATACATAGGTTCCATGATTATGTATTCGAGAGAGTATACGTTTCCTCCATTTACTTTATATGTAACACCCCGTTTATAAAATAAATAAATAAATGTATAGAAGCCCTAAAATGAATAATAATTGAGCGAGGCGTTAGTTTCGAGGAGTTAAAAGTCATAATTACAGAAGTCAGGGTGCGTTTGGTAATAAATGGATTTAAATTGAAAAGATTTGAAGGCTTAAGGGGCTTATTGGTAATATAGGGATCTATTATGAAAGGAATTTATGGGATCAGGGTTTAAAAGGTAAATTTTGGATTGATGCTGAAAATTATATGGGGAGGAGGGGCCAAAAGTGTATTTTTGCCAATGTAGTTTGGTTTGGAGTTACGGGATATATCTTATCCCTCATCCTCTCGTCAAAGGGGTGCAGCCAAAGAACCCAAACCCTAGATCGTGATTTCCACAGCCGCCACTACCCTTGTGACTCCCCAGCCGTCGCTCCCCCTTCTCCTTGTTTTTCCAATCAACTCCGGGACGCCCGACGACTGCCGTTAGCCACCAATGCTTTGCCGCCGATGCTGGCTGTCAACCGGCACATCGTCACTCTCATGGCCGATGTCGGTGAGGACCAAGAGCGAAGGTCCCTTTTCTTGATGTTGCTGCTAATGTCGTTCATGGTGGAGTACCTTCTCGGACCCTCGGTGCTACCCCACAGTCGCGTCCGCCTCCGCTCACGCGATTCTTCTCCGCTGCTCCGGTCAACAGTCACTCCAAGGGAGTTTGTGGTGTGCGTTTCATCCATGTAACGCAAGTATGTGTGTATCCGGTGCTGCTGTCACTAGTCTTATGGTTGCGTGAGTTTTCTGTCGAAGGGTAGCTGTGAAAGAACCACCATGGCAGTCGGCCATGGTGGCTGCTGCCGTCATCCTCGCCGCCTGCCACCACAAGAAGTCTAATGGGCGTGTTTCTCGGGTTCATCTCAAGTGTTGCGGGTTCGGTGTTGCTTAGTTAGTAGAGGTGTGCTTTTTGGCCGGAAACCATGGAAAAACCACCATGGTTGCCAACCATGGTGGCTGCCACCCTCTACCACCACCGGCCACCACTAGAGTGGCTGTGTGTGTGTGTTAGTTAGTGCGTGTGTAATTTTGGATTAAAGCCTTGTAACTATAATTGTAATTAGCAATAATAATAAAAAATAATAGTAACCACCACCGTAAGGTGGTGGCCGCCGTCGTGTGCCGCCGTTGATCACCACTACCCAAGGTGGTAGTGGGTGGTGCCCTACTAGCAAAAACCCTAATGGGCTTAAAGATACATTTTTGGGCCTATTGGGCCATGGTTGAGTGAAAAACCCTAATTAGGGTTTAGAAAACCCTAATTGTGAGTAATTGGGCCTTAGACTTATTGGACCCACTTTTGGGCTATTGAGATTGGGTTGTGTATTAAGCCCAATTTCTCCATATCATTTATCTAGTAGAGTAAAGGACTTAATGGATTAAGTTCTTAATGGGTTAAGTAAGAGACACTTAACCCTAATCGTCATTTTATGTGAAACCCTAGTTTCACTTGGGCCTTTCGATTGGGTTTTGGTAATTGGGCCAATAATGGGCCATCCAAGAATGATTATATGGACTAGAATTTTTAGATGGGCTTTCGGGTAAGGCCCATATGAGGGTTTGGGCCCAATTTAGAAAATTGGGCCATAAAGAGGCTATAGTTTGGGCCTTGATGATTATGAGATGTTGGACCATGAGAATGTCAAGTGTTGGACCAAGAATGAATGATTGGGCCTTAAGGCAAGACTATGTGGAGGTTGGGCCCAATTTAGAAAATTGGGCCATAGTTGGGCTTTGGTCCATTATTAGACTTTTGGGCCTTTGGATTGGGCTTTGGGCCTGAGTCAAGCTAAGTTAAGGGTAAAGTAGTCTTTTACCCCAAGCATGAAATTATCCATATGTGATAGAACACAATTATTAATTGGGTGTTATTTTGGTGTTGACAGTTCGGGAATCTGTCATCCAGCAGCCGGGGTTGAGTCTGCGGGACTTCAGCAGTGTGGGATTGTGTCTACGGGACTTCAGTAGCGTGAGGTGAGTTTCCTTTCAGTAGGAACGGGTCTACGGCCACAATGTCGGCCCGTTTAAGTTAGCAGTAGTTCCGAACTTCAGTCCGATGCAGTAGTTGAGTATGCTTGGTGTCTTTGTGATACAGGCATGGTATGTGTTATGTGTTCCGGACTATGGTCCGATATAGTAAGCAGTATATGTGTTCATATTATATGTCATGATCATGTTATGCTATGTTCAGTCAGTTTCCGTTCTTCGGTATGATGCAGAGGGCAAGGCCCTGGTTAGTTCCGGACTTCGGTCTGATGCAGAGGGCAAGGCCCTGGTTAGTTCCGGACTTCGGTCCGATGCAGTTTCCGGACTTCGGTCCGATGCAGAGGGCAAGGCCCTGGTTAGTTCCGGACTTCGGTCCGATGCAGAGGGCAAGGCCTTAGTTAGTTCCAGACTTCGGTCCGATGCAGTTTCCGGACTTCGGTCCGATGCAGTGGGCGAGGCCCAGTATGTGCTTTATGTGTTATTGTATGGTATGTGGTAGTTGGGGAGACTCACTAAGCTTCGTGCTTGTAGTTTTCAGTTTTGGTTTCAGGTACTCAGTTTTCAAAAGAGGAGTTCGGAAAGATTGCAGTGCACACACCATTTGTTCAGCGTGGGATGTTTATACTCTGCTATACATGACAGTTGTTATATTATTCTGGGATACATTGTTGTGATTTTCTATGACGTATGATGACTATGGTTTTATTACTGATTTAAAACGAAATTTTCAGACTGTATCTTTGGGATGTTACAAGTTGGTATCAGAGCCTTGGTTTGAGGGATTCGGGCACACTTTCGGGTGTGTCTGAACTCAAATTAAGGAAGTGGTATAAAGTTTTCAAGAGAAAAACCATGTTTACAAAAGGGTTGTGAGAAATGAAAACAATTTTAGAAAAGTATAGAGAAAAGAGTTTTAGAAATAGCGAAAAGAATTTTGAAAAGAGAAAAGGGTGTGGTGCATTCAATCAGCCGAGCTCAAGTAAGTACTCCCAAATTACCCATACAAGTTTATGTTATGATTATCAGTTTCAGTTTCAGTAGAATAGCATGCTCGAATAGGACTAAGGATCTAGGAGGATGCCTTATGTGCCTGCTTTATGTGTTCCAGCTGTATGAGAGTTGCATGATAGTATTGAGTAGACAGTAGTAGGATGGCCTGTTTAGGTTATGCCTGATAGTATGAGCTTAGCATTGTATGCTAGTACAGTTTCTTGTCATGAGGATAGAATTGCTTGAGTAGTCTCATGTGTCTGAATGCTGCTTGCTTTGTGCTTTGTGGGACCCTGAGTGATGGGGGTTAGCCATTAGGTGAATACGTCACGTCACATGTGATCAGGGTTGAATAATCTCAGAGTGCTGGATTTGGCCCTATTACGCAGCTCTTGTTTGAGTCTAACAGTTGTAGGGACGAGTCTGTTACTCGAAGGATTATCT